TGGCGTCGTGCGAGGAGCTGGTGGACTGCGTCAAGCTGCGCCTGGGGCCCGCCATCAAGGTGTACTCCGCCGTGCGGCAGCTGCGCGAGACGCTCACGTGATTCGGGACGCCTCCTGCGCCCGCCGCGCTGGCTTAGCGGCGCCGGCGGGCCGCAGCGTGCGCGACCTCCTGTTACTGACCGAATTCTCGCGAATTGTCGAGTGCTACCGTTTCTAGTCTCATGCGACTGTGTCTTCGTCTCCTTCGGGCCGTGGAGGCGTCAGAGACCTATCTCTCGATCTCACGTGCCGACGCGGTGCCGGTAGCGTCTATTTACGGTACAGACTTCTACGTGATTCGTAAATAGATGTACAAACTGCGTTGTATTATATTTGATTATTTTCAAAATTGTGGTTCTTAATGGACGTTCGTGTCGGAAGTAAATTTTATTTTGCCCCTTAGAGTTGGATGTTTAGTAATTGTGTGTAAATAAGTGGAATTCGACGTCAATTGGAGGCTGACAATATTGTGGCGAGAATATTGATTGAAACCTGTTTGGCTATATAGGGATGTGACACGCAATCTGTCTTCGGATTTAGTAGATTTGGGACCGTTGCAACTACGTAAGCGTAAGGTTCCGAAACCTGACTATCGTTCAATTTACATTGCCGCGGCACAGAATGAAACCGAATTTTTATAACGAAATTGTACATAGGATATTGAACTTTATGTCAATGTAATACCCGTAACGTACAAACTAAGTACGTGCCAAAAGACAGGTCGCGCGTCTTCCGGACAATTCACGCACATTCTCGGGAATTAACGCACCCACACACGTCGGAAGGGAGATAGGAAGGGAGGTCCATCATCTACGAAGCAAATGTATAGTATAAATTTTTTGCAAAATGTTTGTGTTGCCAAATCGTTGCTGAACTTCTGTACTTCTTCCTTTTCTTCTTTTGCTTCACAACAAAACGAAATAAAAACAATATCCAAGTTCTCCATTCCTGCCATGTAAATGATCTACTAAACAACTGAACGCCTCAGGGCTGAAGAAGCTTCTTCAGCCCTAAAGCGCAGTTGCGAGGATTCTCGCAGGAGACAAGATTGACGCTTCCCTTCTATTCCGCATCGCGGCAATGTAGATTGAGCCTATCGCTCACTCAAGAATTTTATTATTATAGTTTGCCAAAACACCAAAGAAATTATTGGAATTGTATAAATTATTATTTTCGAAATTATAATTTTATTTACTATGACAAATAAACTTCAAAAGCTCTGGACCATCAGAGCCTTTTGTTAGTTGAGTGAACTGCACAACATAATAATTTCTGTATAAATAAGTACATAGTACTGTCAGCTGTCTTTTTTCAAGGTTGATGTCTCTTGTATGTACATAAGTTTACACTGATTTAGTGCAATGATTTTTTACCTCATTGATGTTATAAGATTGTGGATTTAGTTAAGTGAAGTTTATTAATTTATGCAATATCTTTTTGTTAATGATAGATTAACTTTATAATAGATTTAAGCAAATAAATTGTCTCTATTTTATTTTCTGCATATCATGGAAATAGCTTCGGAATTTATCTACTTTGTCATGCCGGAGTATAATCTTTAGTTTTATTGCAACAAGTTTGCTTTCCGTAACGAGTATGTATTCCTCACGATGTAATGTACGCATTCATCTATCCATCTACATTAGAATAAGTCAATGAATTTTTCAAACACTGCTGTATCATTATTTTTCACGCTTAAGGAAGAATTGTTACTTATTTTGCTATTGTAATATTGTAAATATACTCATATGTATAATATAAAATTGCGCAAGCAGAAACTTCTTAGCGTTGATAAAATTCATCTTATTTATATTGAATAAATTCCGAGCACAGTTGATTTAAAATAATAAAAATTAAATGTTTTATCATCTATCATTTAGCTGCCGAAGTTTCTGCCCGCGTAATTGGGAGCACAGCTGTGGAAACGTAAGACTGGCTCCGCGCGACGTGCCATTTAACTGGCACCATTTCTAAATGTTGTTCTGTAATAAACAGTTTTTAAATTACTAATGTTTTTAACTGCAGACTGTCGCACGTGTACGACAAAGGAAAGACGAAAATCGTTGAAAAGTTAAAAATTGTATTGACAGTTAAAACTACACGATTCAAGAGAACTAATTTAAATCTATTTAGTTCCACTTCACGAGACTTGCGTCCGCTACTTGATTCATGTGATCCGAAGTGCAACTCTAAAATTGTACGCTCTGTCGTTAAAGTTCCTCTGAAGTGTTTGTGATATAAGACCAGCTTAAGACACAGACTTCAGTACAGCAAACTGGCAAATATTTTAGACAAAACGTCCGTTATTCGCGTGGGCCTAGTTTCTGGAGCGGGTGTCATCAGTTTCCTCGGCATCGGCCTTCGCGAGAGCTTGGTGCAATTCGTTAACGGTGTTCTTGAGCAGGTCTGCGCGCCGCCTCCGCTCGGTCGCCATATCGTGGTTCAGCTGCTGCTGCAAGCTGACGATGTATTCTTGCATCTCCGAGAGGCGCTTACGCCACCTGAATAAGGGGAATATCGTAAGATAAATTTATATTTTACCCGAGTATCCGGGGAGGCGAAGTAAGCAGTAAATAAACAAGTACACGTCACTCACTCACTTGCTATATAATATAGACTCACAATCGCTAAGTTCATATTATTATAAAAAGTCCGATCGCTAAGGTGCGTACTTACATTTCAAACTTCTATATCTCTAATGTGCAATGTTAATTATGCGTTGTTCTATAACGCGAGGTGCCTTTGTCACGCACTCGACACGGTCTAGAGAGAGTAGTGGAGACACTCTGACTGCCTCCGTGGCCGAACGGTTACCATGCCGGACTGCCATGCAGAGGTCCTGGGTTCGATTCCCAGGCCGGGAGAAATATGTGTATGGCCTACATTTATTTCTCTCGTGAGTTTGGGTGTAATTTGTGGTTGTCTATGTGTGTGTCCATAGCACCCGCGACACAGGGTTTCCCTAGTGCGGGGCTATGTTGAGTGTGTGCGTTATTATTATATTATTATTATTATTACTCTTTGAAATATAAATTTTTGTTGAAGAACAAACAAATTATATAATAAACCATAACATTTCTTTTTCAGCTCTAACCTGTGTTTTAGTGCGTTATTGGTTTCTTATTGCGCCCTCTGTTTTTTACATAAAATAAAAGGTCTTTGACGAATAAAACAAGTAACCCGTGTTTTTAATGGCGATGAAATTGTGAAATGACAATTTCTTTTCAAATTCATAACATAAATTGACTAACCCCAAATTCTCAATTGAATGGTGAATTACATATTTGGAAATACATAAACATCTGACAGTCAGATATAGGTTCAAAACCTTAAAAAACTACTTATGTGCAAATGGATTTTGTAGTTTTGGCAACAGTTCAGTCAAAACTTAACTATTGTGTATATGTCTGACTACAGAACCTACATTACGTGTCATCATTGAGACAAAAGACGATTTGCACTTCGTCTCGTTTACTATTTAATATTTGAAGACAAATAAAGACGTGAAAGAGGATGCTGACTAGGCGCCGCTATGCTGAATGAGGATTCTATTGTTGTAAGAAAATGTAATCGGTTGAAAATAAAATCGAATTCCGCAGTTTCGTGAATTATAAGACTTCGTGAAATATGTCACTTCGTTCTTTTTGAGTGCGTATCCGCTGTAATTTTTGTCCGAACACTGCGGCATTGCGTGGCGAAATTGTTTCATTTGATTCATCATCGGCCCATTATATTTCCACCTGCTGGGCACAGGCACATTTTTAATTGTTGATATTTGAAAATTCACACACTTTTGAAGTATATGTATTAAAAATACAAATAGGAGACAGTTTTGATTTTAATTGAATATACATACTCAAATCCGCCTGTCGAAATTAAAATGTGTACAACTAAAAATCGATTTTGATACTAATATACTAACTGTTAAAATAAGAATAAAGAATATAATAACGCAATTAGTATTTAGAAATTAGAACGTAACATTCACAATTTAGTCATTTTTGGCAAAATTTTACCTACGCTACGCTCACAATCTATCTTTAAAATTTTAGGAAAACTGGCAACTTTGCAAGTGTAATTTTACTCAGTCTTCAAAAAAGACAGACTAGCTTAATCGTTGTGGAATTTTACGAAAGTTGTATGTTAAAAACAATAGCTGAGCTTCTTTTTCAGCTTAGTCGAATTATGTCACGACTCGAACACCCGCAATGAATATCAGCGTTGAGGAATGCGGATGCTGATATTTTATGCTGATTATCCGCGGATGCGGATGCTGATGTTCGTCAGAACCCTACTCTAAATCAAAAAGGCTTTTGTCTCGGACATTTTTACCGCGATTGTGAGTCTACAGTAAATAAGTACATGTAAATAATTTTTACAAGACCACGTATTGCTGGATACCAATGTACTGAGATACAAGGTTCACGTAATATCGGCGAAACCGGTACTGACGCTTCGTCCTGTGCCTCCCAGAACTCGAGCTCGGTCTTGGCCTTGTTGTACTCGTGCTCGCTGCTCCGCAGCCCTTCGAGCCGCTCGGCGAGCTGCCGCTGCTCGCCGACCCACGCCTCGGCGTCGGCCGTCTCGCGTGCCGCGTCCGCCTCTGCGGCCTGCTGTTCCCGCTCGACTGTCGCTTTTAATTCTGCTATCTTCGCACGAGTCTCTTCCTGTAACAGTTAAAGTTCCGGGGTTGAGGTTCGGCGGGTGTTGCTCTCATGGAAGAAAAAAAACAATGGAAGTGTCTCAAGCCTCTATTATTATCAGAACCGCTGTCGCCAAAATTCACATTTATAATTTGTAACACTTATGAAATCTTGATAATGATTGTCGCAGTTTCTAATTTAAGAACAAGTAATAAATGCTGAACTGATAATTTAAATTTTATCATGTTGGCATATTGTTGAAAGTTCAATAATACTTGTTATTGCCAAGCTACGTATCGATTTTATATTGAAATTAAACTTCAACTGCGAAAAAGTTTAAATTAATGCGAATTGGAGATTCATTTTTGCATTCTAAAGTAGCAGAATAAGCATTTTTCTACGGTTTTCGAGGTTTTGCGCGAGATAATTGACACGAGGAGTTAAGGCCAGTCTCCGAAGGAGAAGCGGGAAAGACTGTTTTGTTAGATCAAACGGTTTAGGTATTTACTATTAAATAAGGACATTATAAAAAATATATGTATATATGAAACACCGAAGGGTCTAAAGAATGTGCTAATTTGTTACACGGTAGGATGTACTTTACCCGGTCACGTAAAATCGTGAGAATAGGCTGCAAGGAAAGTTTAGGAAGAATTATTTATTAATTTATGTATAAAATATGTATCTTTAAAAACTACAGAGGACCTGCCAAACTTTGGTTTTCAACTGTAGCCCAGTAGTTATTGAATTGTTATTTATCTCGAAATTTGCAAATCGCCCAGCGGTTCAACGATAGGACGCGCCGCCCGCTCCGGCAGTCTCCATCGGAAGCAAAACTTAGTCCGGCGGCAACGGTAGACGGTACCAGCTGCGCCGCCCGGCGCTGCGTGTGCTGCGCCCTGGCGCGCGAGTGGCTGGCGCGCCGCTCGGCCAGCGCCGCGGCGTGCGCGCGCAGCGCCTCCGCCGCCCGCGCCACGGCCGCCGCGCACTCCGGCTCCATCAGCTCCCTGCGAAGCGGCGGGCGTCAGCGGCGGCGGCGGCGCGCGGGGGCCCGGCCCGACACGCACTTCTCGTCGACGGCCAGCGCGGCCTGCGGCGGCAGGTGCGCGGCGAGGTGGATGAGCGCCTGCTGGTACTCCACGCAGCTGTCCAGGGTGCGCTTCTGCCACGCCGCCAGCTCCGTCTCCTTGGCGACCAGCATCTGCGGGCGATCGGGCGTTGTCGGACGAGCTCGCGCCGCGGCCCGGCGCCGCCGCGAGGGTCACCTTGGCGACTTGGTCGGCCAGCGTGCGCTTGGAGTCGGCCACGCGCGTGGCGTAGTCCACCTCGTCGAGCAGGCGCGCGCGCTGCTCCACCGACACCTGCTGCTGCGCCAGCGCCGCCTTCAGCTGCTGAATCTCCTCCCTGAAGGACGCGGCGATCGGATTCGGAGCCCCGAGGGCGCTCACGTGACGCGGACGGGACGGGAGCTCACGTGAGGTCGGCGACGTCGGCGTCGAGCGCCCTGGCCAGCGCCTGCCGGTCCTGGCGGTGCAGGCGCTGCGCCTCCTGCTGCGCGCGCAGCTCGGCGCGGCGGGCGCGCAGGCCCTTGGCGCGCGCGGCCAGCGCGTCCCTGCGCGCGCGCACGCGCTCCTCCTCGGCGCGCGCCGCCAGCTCGCCGGGGTCCTCGAGGCTGGCGCTCAGCTCTGCCGACACGTCACCGATTAGCGATTGCCGCGCGCCGCCGTCGTCGCGAGGACCGGCGCGGAGCCACTCACGCTGGATTATCTCCTGCAGCTGCGCGACGCGCCGCTCGTCGTAGTCGAGCAGCCGCTTCAGGCCCTCCAGGTACTCCGCCACCAGGTCGTCGAACGCCGGCTCCGGCTCCTGAAACCTGACCCGCGACCGAGTCGACGCTTAGGTGCGCGATCTTGGACTCGTCATGGAAATGATATAAACGGCAGTTACGCACCTGACCCAACTTTTGTTGATGTAATCTCGCCGCAGGCAAGCGAGCTCGTCTTTTTCGTTGTACAGCCATTCGTCCGATACGGGCGTTTCCTGAACAAAACAAATATGCGTTCCGTTCACCGCGTGTAACTTCGAATACTACCACGCATAACCAAGTTGTAAATTACATAAGCAACACCCCACTGATTAAAAAGAAAAACTCCATAAAATGAACTTATATAGGTCCGTGCTTGTAGTTTTGAAAAAACTTTCTTTCGCCAATTCTGGAGGTCTACTCTCGATCTCCGTCCGACATCCGTCCGAAACAATTACTGCCAAGTAAGCAATTTTTGACCAAATGAAAAGACGCATGATGCAAATGAAGCTTCATACTGGATACTTGTCTTTTAATTTTGTCAGATATTACTTATTTGACAGTAATTGTTTCGGACGGAGATCGAGGTAGACCCCCTGGTTCGCATATTGTCAGTGAAATGTACTTTAATGCAAAAATAAATGTCACACAAAATTATAACAGATATTAAAAATATACGATTTAAATCTAAAGTAAAAAATTAAGTGCAAGAATTCACTCCTTAACAATAAAATAAAATTAAAATTACCTAAATTACTACCAAAAAATTTACGTCCTAAAGAATTGTAAAAAAGGTAAACTACAAATTTAATAATCGTAATACTGGGAGTCTAAATTTTGTTCTACAATATAGTTGTAAAATAAGAGAAGCATCAACACGATAAGAAGAATATCACTTTACAACCAGCTGTAAATGAACAAACACAAACTGAAGCTTGTACTCTTTTAACATAAACTATAAACAGTCAACTGTCCGACGCGTCGTAAGTACTCACAATATGTGTTACGAGATTCAGGAAGTAGGATATGAAGGCAAGCGCGTGCGGGAACGCGTGCAGCGTGTTGACCGTCTTCAACCACGACTTGGACACCGCTCCCGGGTACAGAAAGCGCTTTGCCAGGTTCGGCAACTGCATCACATGCAATACTTTCAGTTTACACAGGTATATATTCAAATTGAATCATTGCAATCAACTAGAAGATAACATTGCTGAAAAATAATGAAATCTGCTGTACTGTCCTGACAAAAAGACAGCGAGTAGCGGATGCTATTGAGGAGCTTTAAAAAAAATGTTATTTTAATTTATCACACTCATTAATTAATAATCATTAGAGATATTGAAGTGTTTTGTAACATCTTAACAGGTAATGTGAAGAAGTTCTTTCAATTCACCTTGGCAACATAGTTGTCATTGTTCAGCTTTGCATCCCGCATAATGGTGTTCAACAGCTGTCCCGAGATTTCAACGAAGCGGGTAATGGTGAGCGGGCGGATGAGTGCCAGTGGACCAACACCACCCGCACCACGCGCCGCAAGTGCTTCCGACACACGTGCGAACTCTGCTCGCTGCCATGCCACATTTGTAATTGGCCTAACAATAACCACACACTTGTTATTGCAAATTGGTTACATGTACCATGTGGTATGGTACAGTGTAATGGACTGATACCCATAATTTGACGTTTTGACCCGTATGTCGCGTACCACACTAAATATACACTAAGGGTCGTATTCCAGAACTGTACTCAATGCTCAAGTCAGGATTTGAGCAGACTTGAGTATGATTTCAAGCACTGGAAATACGACCCCAATGGCAAGGACTTGAGTATGAGTATTTCTAGTGCTTTGAATCATACTCAAGTCCTGACCTGAGCATTGAGTAGAGTTCTAGAATACGACCCTAAATAAGTTAACAGCTCTGCAGTGTACATGATAAAAAATATGATAACTTTTAGATGTCGAAACAAGTAGATTGGTTTACTTCAGCTACTTTCACAGTTTAATGAGATATGGCATTTTGCTTTGGGGTAATGCCGCCGACATTAATAGAATAATTTGTCCTGCAGAAATGTGCAGTTAGGACAATTTACATTCTGGCCGCCAGAGTGTCTTTGATAGATAAGTTTAAAGAGATATAACATTCTTACTAGAGATGAAACGGATATCCGGTAACTATCCGGTACCCGGCCTATTTTTACAACCCGGCCAAATACCGGATGTTTAAATCTGAGAAAAATTCATAATCTTTGATTGAATTGATTTATTGATTAAAGATGACAGAAATAAGATAAACGCAACTACAGGATCATTGACAATTTGTTCATTACTTGTAACCGAAAGAACTATGAAATTAGATAACGCTATATTATGTAAATTTAGTACTCAAATTTCAATAAAGGCAAATTATGGTGGATGAAGCTCAGTTTTTCTGCATTATTTATATTATTATAGTCAGAATTTGATTATGGTTTAAAGCACTCGAAATCATACTCAAGTCCCTGCCATTAGGGTCGTATTTCCAGTACTTGTGTTGCCAGTGCAATCCTGACTTGAGCATTGAATATAGTTCTAGAATACGACCCTAAAAGTGGTAAAAGTTGGTCCTATTTGAATAGAATCTGTTGTATCAAGGCTTGGAATTAGTTAGATCACAAACAAATTGAAATAAAATAATAACGGGGTATCAAATGCTAGGCTTATTACTTATAAATACTAGAAATGTTGATATAGCCAAAGAATTATGTAATTGCTTTTTTCCTTCTCCACCACCAGAAATTTGCATTCGGCACAACAAGCAAACAGCACTGATATTAAATTATTGTCATATTTGCAATTTTTTTTCATTTAACATTTTTCTGTTATGTATTTGTTTGTATTATCTACTAAATTAATCGTTTTTATAAAAACGTGTGACCACAACAAATCATATCGTCAATGTGAAAGTGAAATCATTCCTATCTATCATCACGTCAATAAACCAGTCGCCACATGTTTACGGCAATGGGTCAGATATCCGGATAGCCGGCCTAGGTACTCGCCGGATATCCGGTATCCGGCCAAATCACTATCCGTTTCATCTCTAATTCGTGTAAGAATTAACATCACAGTTCATTTATGAAACTGTTATTTAAGTTAAGAAAAATATTTTTTTTTTATGAGAAATAGTGACAGTTGTGGCACGAGGAATAAAATTTAATTAGCTGTTCTTGACAGTCGTCTTCATAAAGTCTTATTCACTTAAGGGGCAATATACTCTTCTATGATAAGATTCCAATTGATATTCAAAATTTCGACTGTGAACTGGCACTGGTACTATCTCAATTTTGACAACTATAAAGGATGATTTGCGTCATTTACATAGCATCTGGTTTATTAAATAACAATATGTTGAGTGTATACTTTAAAAAAAAATTTAAAACTACATTATTTTATTTAATAACAACTGATTGCCAGTTCGCAGTCGATTTGCCATTTAAGAGGTTTAAAATTATTATGAAACAAAAACTTTATACTAAAGGTTAATATACAACTTCAGCATACTAGGATGATAAAAATCCATGGTAGTGACCCATTCAGCTCTTTCAGGTATTTTCGATGTAAGATGTTTAAATTAAATATAAATGTATTCAAAGGTATATTTACAAAGAGCAACCCCTAGAATTTCTTGCTCTTTCTTTTCAGGGTAATCTACCTTACAAATGAGCAGTAGTTTAATCAGTATAACGATTCCAAGTGTAATTTGCTTACCTATGAAATAACGATTATTTGGCTTTGACTTTCACATAGTATTCTATATAGTTTGTGCTACATGGAATACCTGAAATTTTCATTAGACAGATTGAAATTTGAAAAAGTGCTCATTAATTTTGTTACCTTTGATCTTTAACAGTGACAAAAGCCAATGCCCTGTCAACAGATATCTGCCAGCTGCGACTGGAACGGTCCTCTGATGGTGTTCTCTGTAAAATATAAGACCGGTGTATTTGAGAGCTTTCAAAAATGAAAAACTTTTAATATTTATTTTTATTAAAGTGAAGACTCAGAGCATAACCGCTCACGCGATACATGCAGCCGTAGACGCATACCACACCTAGAGGTGCCGGTGATGATTTTATACCGATTTATCGGATATCGAAGTTATAACAGGTAAAAGAACTAATACTAATTGCTATTTTGGTAACTACTCTAGCAAACCATAAAGTTTTGAATGCCTAGGTCTGTCATTTAAAAAAAATAAACAACTTCAAAAATACATCACGACAATCGTGTGTGTTATTGTTTGGGCTGGTGATTTCGGTGTTTATTTATTGAAAACATACCGTAAGTAGCGTTTTTTAAGTTTACCCTGAATATAAATGTTTATAAACTATACTTTAAGGAGTAATTTCATGATAAATGTTACAACCACTCAAACGGAATATCATATTTACCCAAGTACACCAAAAATTTCATTAGTGCTTTTTAAGTGCAGGATTTGCGGTGCTATTATATATTATATATTACTGCATTTTATTTGAGATGTTTTTATTGTAGTACGGAGGGTATTTATTTAGCAATGCAGAATAATAATTTTTATTTATAAAAACTTGTATTTAAACTGAATCCTTTTCTAATTTGCGAAACCAAATAGCCGCCATTTTGCGGTAGGATTAGCGTGAGCGGTTATGGACTTTATACAAATAAACATACCACTGGAGTAGCTGTGGTTCTAGGGTATTGGCTGCCTCTAAGAGGTGTAATTGAAGACTGTCCATATCTATCACCTTGCTGGGATTTTGAACGCTATAAAAGAAAAACATGTTTTATTATTGAAAGCATAATGTGACATGATAATTCCTACTTCAGTGATTATGATCTTACCTTTTTATATTGTACCATTTTATTACAACTTCTGCATATGAGTAACTGTAATAATGAAATATCTTACTCTATTTGGTGGTATCTTGGAAACAGAACTATCCTTGCTGAGGCGGTTGACGGCAAGTGTGGCACGACCAGGCTCGGCACTGCTGGACCGGCCTGTAGCGCTGGGCCGGCGGGCGTCTGTGGATGGCCGGTCGGTAGACGCTGGTCGGCGAGGCTTTGGCAGCATTGACGGACGAGGGGCTTCGATTCTGTCGAACATTTGGGGGACCTTAGGTTTATGTATAACTTTCACGTCTTTAGACCTTAAATAAAATATTACATTAGATAAAAATAACAGACAATGCGAAATATTCATCTTAAAACCTATAAAAATATTTGAATAAGATCGAAGTTACAAACCTGGATTTACGAACGGAGGACGATTGTCCTGCGGTGAACCTCGTTGGAATCATTTTGTTTTATTGCACTTTTATTGTGTATAAAAAATAGAACAATGTTATTGTTTTCTACTAAGACAACAAGTGAAAATACAAATGATACACTCGTCCGTTGCAATGTTTTCAAATATTTTTTTTTTTTAGATAGTCACAGTGTGACAGCGGCGAACGAACTTCAGACTATATTTAGCCAATGGCAAGTTCAGGATTTTTTCTAATGATTTTTTTTACGTTTCTGGGTACTTTGCCCATTTTGAGCCAATCTTCAAAATAATCAATTCTATATCGAAAATATCAACAACTAGTGTGACCATCAAGAAAACAGAGAATCTGCCCCGGCCATTGGTTGAAAAATTGCCAGAATCTGTCAAACTCTTCTGAGAAAATGCCTAAGATATGACATTTTAGGCATTTTCTCAGAAGAATCAACATAAACCGTAACTTATTTGTCATGTACAAATGTACATGTACGCATCGAACCCATGTTAATAATAGTGCCACCACAATTATTTAGAAGATAAGTTTTCCCGTACAATTTTTTAAATCTATTTAACAACTTTAAAAATACATATATGTATGCTACGGCTGATAAAACACGCAAAATAGGCGCCTTGTCGTCGAGTTGCGGACACCAGCCCGTTACACCAAGTACGGCTGATAAAATAAATTTTAAAAAATGGTTAACAATAAAGTAAAAACTAATTTAAGCTGACTTTTGTGTTAGCCTTATTTAATTGAGTGATAAATGTAGCGCCACACCAATTAAGTTGTGTAATTTTAGTCCTTACAAATATTCGAACTTGAAGAGATTAATTTGATCACAATATCTGATTGAATTGAATTGAATTGAAAGAGATATTAGCACCGATAAAAATTTGAGTTTTATTTTTTTTAACGTTAGTAGTGAATTCTAACTCGGTGTTAGAGCTGAATTTTGACGACTCACTTGAATTTTCAGGATATTGCTTAAAGGATAGAGAAAATAATGGATATCTATGGGATATTGATTCATTTCATTCATTCGGTTAACAAATTCAATGTCGCTCTCAGTTGTCGCACAACACTATGCTCTGGAATTTGGATTAATTCTGGGCCTTTTGGAGGGAAAAGTGTCGTTTTTATTTTGACTTTCAATTATCTTGTGAAATCTAGTTTAAAGTGGAATAGGATAGTTGCCTTAATCGAAGATTAAAACGAGAAATTATACGAATCTCGAACTAAAGTGCTCGTATCGGCCCGTTCTAAGGAATCCCGTGTCAATCCAAACACGCCGCCTCAAATTGCCTATCCTCTTTGTGGCGGCCATATTTACAGAAACTTAATTAAACGAAGATATGGCTCAAAGGACTTGTATCCAAGCCAAAATTATTAATAAAAAAATACACTATGCTCAGTTAAGGTGTTTGCTGGTGATGTGAATTATTTTCAGTTTTTTCAGTGTAGTCCGTGATTGTACCAGTTTGATTTTAATTTAAAATGGCTCTTATATGTGCAAGTAAGTGTTCAAAAACGCGCTTATGACGAATATATCTTGTTTATTGAGTTTGTTTCCAATGACGCGCGCTTACCGGTTTGACATTATAGTATTGTTACCAAAGCAGTATTTTATGTTTTCATACTATATTACGCATGATTGAAACATCCGACAGCACTCGTATGGTAATTTAATAGATGTAAAACGTTTTTGTTTATAACTTAGAAACATAACCTTAAAATTTGTCAGTATCAAACGAAGTGCCAGAGGTGGCGGTGGTGTCGCCGTCGTCGGGCGCCGTTTTTGAGAAGCGTATTATCGAAAAGTACATAATCGAGAATGGCGTCGACCCCCTCAGCGGGAAAGAGCTGCGAGTTGAAGACCTTATAGAAATCAAAAGTGAGTTCACTCTTTATTTATACAATTCTGGGGCCATTTACGACTTTCATAGCTGCATACATTGCGTTGTACAACTTCATGGAAGCATAATTGTTTTGATTAAATCTAAATTTGCAATATTTAGCTCATGTTCAGAGGAACATATTATTAAAATAGAGTTACAATGAATAGTCTGTTAGTATTCGGCATTTGAGTTACTCAGCTTGTTTTTTATATTGAACCGAATAGAAGAGATTAGACGAATACCGAATGTAGAGCATTTGGCCGAATACTGAATAGCCGAAAGCAGTAATTATAGTTATGTAACTAATATAAACGCTGAACAAAGATTGTAAGTTTGAGAAAGCACAGTTTTTCACTTATTAATCTATAGGATTAAAGGAAACATAACATATAACTTACATATTTTTATAAGAAATTAAAAAGGTAACAAATCTAATGAAATCCAGCTTCTCCAAATCTGTACACATAACATTCACATTATGTAAAGGAGAATGTACATCTATGACCAAGTGCGGTGCACTTCTTCCAAGTAAAGACTGTCAAATATCTGGGCATGTATCTTGATAAGCAGTTAGAATGGGTAAACAATGTAAGAACTAAAAGAAGTGTTGCTCACATCCAGCACAAAGACCTGTACTGGTTGATAGCTAATCTCCATTTTCACTACACAATTTGATGGTGTACAAGTGCATCATCTTATATCAAGTGCACGAGTTGTTAGTCCCTTCACATGGTATCGTAAAATAAGAATAATAATACAAATGAGGCTCAGCTAGCAACTTGAATCTCAAGATATTGCAGAGATTTCAGAACATGGTACTGAGAACTATATCTTGTAAACCATGGTTTATAAGGAATACTGAGTACCAAGAATATTTGAATATACCAGCTATCAAAGAAGCAGTAAAGGGCTACAGCAAAAAATATAAAGCCTGAGCCTTATCTACAAGAACAAATTGGCAAAAAACTGCTGCTGTTGTGCTCCCAAAACCCAACACAGTTGAAACAATGGCTCGTCTTAAACCTGGATCAATGAATGTGAACACCTCAAATTATGACAGGGCATGATGCTCACAGGAGCAACTTCCTTCCATCGGCATTAAGACAACCCATCTGCTGCTGCCTTTTAGGGAGATGTTGGTTCATCAAAGGCTAGAGCATCACCCCAAAATTCTGATGTGTGGTGCCTTGGGAAAGCATCACACTACCTCCCAACCTCTTTTCATATGAAATGTCGGACAATAATGGGAAAGTTTTGCCATGTCAAGTCTGTCAAGAACCTCAAATACATACAGCACCAGTCAGTTATTATAGAGAGGTTGAAGTTCTGCAGCACACTCACAACATCGATATACTTAATTTAACTGCCTCCGTGGCCGAACGGTTACCGGACTGCCACACTGAGGTCTCAGGTTCGATTCCCGGGCTGGGAGAAATATTTGTATGACCTACATTTATTTCTCTTGTGAGTTTGGGTGTAATTTGTGGTTGTCTATGTGTGTGTCCATGGCACCCGCGACACAGGGTTTCCCTAGTGCGGGGCTATGGTGAGTATGTGCGTTATTATTATTATACTGCTGGTATCTGAAACTCATTTTACGGCGAGAGTACGATCTGGATACAAAATTATGATATTTATACCACCAATCACCCAGATGGAACTGCACGTTTCATAGCCGGAGCTGGGCCTCCAGATTGACTAATACCAGGTGTAGAGAACTCAAGAAGAGTCTAGATAAGAATAATATCTCCACAATATCAACAGCTGAACCTACTAACTGGCTCACCGACCCTAATAAGCTACCAGATGTCATAGACTTCTTTGTTGTAAAGGGGCTATCTAGACTTTACCATTCGGTACATACGTGTCTGGACGCCAACTGCAATCATGTCCCGGTATTTTCGGAACATCGGAACCACAGCCCTCAATATTCCCAGTGTACCCAAGCTGCATAACAAACGCACTGACTGGGTCTCCGTTCGTGAGCTAGTCCATGAGAAGCTGATTTACCAGGTTTGTGGACCATTATAATTTGGGATATTTTCCACAGATCTGGGAAATGTCCTACTCTCATGATTGCATTGAATAGCATTGTGAGATATACTAATCCTTTGCACAGCAATTTTTCAAGGACTTTCTTGTCTAACAGATCGAACCCTGGTTTGTGGCTTTGTGGTTGGGCATGAGTTTAATATATCTACTTATCTCTGACCACGTGACATCTTTGACCACGGTAGTCAGTAAAACACCTGACTACACAACCTATAAGGTAGCGCTCCACTGGGAATAGCACCCTTTCCATTATGAATTTCATACAACCCATCTGTTTATAGCCAGGAAGGCTGATCGAAAGAAAAAAAAGAAAACCCATCTGATTATGGCTTTTACAAGCTAATGGCAGATTAAAAAGGAAAAGAAAAAAAATTTAATGAAAGTACCTATTTGTAGTGTAGTTTGACCAAATAAATGCTAACAAAGTCAACCAAAACCTTACATTTGCAAATTACTATATAATTAATATTTTAAAAGGTCATTCAAACTGAAGTGAAATAAACAATCACTTTCATCATTCAGATGTCATCAATTTTAATTATAAACTTGAACATTATATTGACCTTTTTTGTTTCATTGTACTAAATTATTTATTATGACGGAAGTTAATAAGTAGTATTTTCCATGCCAATTTTCATATTATGTGCATCAATCAGGTTGAATATACTATTTGTTGCAACAGTACTACATACGTAATACAAATGTAATTAGTGTTAAGACAAGCTTTGTGTATTTCTTATAAGTCTTACTCATACTTACAAAATTTACATGTGAGCAGCCCCACCAATAGTGAAGCCTAAGCCTCCAAGTGCAACATCCATCCCAGCCACACTGAAGGCCATGCAAGATGAATGGGATGCTCTCATGTTGCACACCTTCACCCAAAGACAGCAACTCCAGACTGCTCGCCAGGTAACATTTTTATTTCCAATTGAAATATATTTTATTCATATTATTTTAAACAATTGAACGCGTAAAGAGAATCTCAAGAAAATGAATACTTGAAAATGGGAAACATTTAAGTGCATATAAGAAAACTTAATACATATAAAATTATATTCATTATTTAAATAACTTTCACGTCTAAAAAAATATTTCACTACAAATAAAACAACTGTCTAACAAATGTGTCAAAACTAGCCCTCTGCTAATTTCTCAGTGTACAACGAGTTCTCATTTAATAACAAAAATATGGTTTACATAACAAAAATACTGATTGCACATCAATTTAAATTTACTCTAAACAAAATAACAATTCTTTTAACAAAATTACCATAATTTTTCTCAAAAGTTGTTCCACAAATTATCTTCATTTATACAATGACACGTACAACAAATATATTTATCGCTCGCGATCTGGCTCATGTATGTGGTACCACCAGCAGACACCATAAATGTTCTAATCAAACAGAAAAGGAAGCGTGGACGTCCTGCAAAGCAAGATCCGCATTTATAATTCAATAAAAGTTTTTTTTATTAACCCATTATATCCCACTGCTGGGCAAAGGTTCATATTCATATTCATTTATTTGCATTTCACATGGATGATAAACTTATACATGTGATACCCTGTAAGGGTGTAGCAAAGTTATAATGGAATTTAAATACATTGCAAGCTTGAACGTAGTTTAGATAATTAATTATATTATAGATTCTATAATTATTAAGAAACATAATTATTACACAATATTTTTATCTTAAAATTAATTAAATTATTATTTTTATAATTATTAAACATTTTTATTACTATTACATTTAATTTAATTTCATTTATTGCAATTCACATTTTAATAAATTTAGATACATACATGTGATACCTTGTTAGGGCGTAGCACAATTTAATTATTTTAATAAATCTATGATTTTAACATATATTATAATATATATTATTCGTACACTTATTGCTAATAATAATTTTTACTGAACTGTTTTCAATTATTACCTAAATTTCTTATAGACATGAAATCAATTTCAAATAAATTTATCGCCAAAAAATTCAGACATACTATAATATATTCCCTATTATATATATTCCTATTACTATATTCCCTAGTGCGGGGCTAAAAAAAAAATAAAAAATAAAAATAAAATAAAATAAAAATAGGTTTTTTGTTTAGAAATTCTTTTAAACGTTTTTCAAAGACTGTGTCTTTATCCAAATTTTTTATATAATTTGGGATGTGGTTATATACTTTTATTAACATAGGGTGTGGTGCCCAAGGAAATAATTTTAGGCTAGGCGGAGAAAATTTAAGCTTGTTATGGTAACGATTATTACGTCTTATTAATTTTATCGGAGAGTATAAATCTGCGTGTTTTTTAACGAACTTACAGGCTTCAAAAATGTATAGGCACGTTAGAGTCAGTATGTTAAGTTTTATAAAATACGGTTTACAGGAGTCCGTTTGTTTTATGTTGGTTAATATTCCGATTTTTTTTTGTAGAACAAAAGGTTAATAAAAGTTATTTTAATTTTTTTAAATTATTTTCTGCTTTTTTATTTTAAGCTTTGGAGATGATTTTCTTGTAAGCAATTCATGATATTGGAACTAAATTGAACCTTTACTTGCAAATACCAGAAAATACTACGATTTTCATGTATTAAGGGTCGTATTCTATAACTCTACTCAATGCTCAAGTCAGGATTTGAGTATGGTTTAAAGCACTCGAAATCATACTCAAGTCCTTGCCATTAGCGTCGTATTTCCAGTGCTTGAAATCATACTCAAGTCTGCTCAAATCCTGACTTGAGCATTGAGTAGAGTTCTGGAATACGACCCCTGAGACTTTGTTGCAATGTTTGTGTGCAATTTAATTTTTTTTTGTTGCTCTTATTGTTTTGGACAAATTGTACAATTAGACCATTATGTTAAATAAAATGGTGTTTCATACTGATAACATACCTATTTCACTAAAAGGTACATCAGTCGATGTATCTTTTAGTGAATATTTTTCTCATAATTTTGTGGTCATACGTTTGTTGTATGCCAGAAATATTAGATATGTATTTAGATGTTACGATATGCATTGCGATAAAATGTTATACATTAATTTTAGTACATAATGCTAAATTAATTTTATTTTGATGTGTAACCAGTTCTTTTGCTGGGGAAGTGGCATATTTGGTTGTGGAAAAACTTGCTTTTTTGATGAGAGGTAAAATATTAAATTTCTTCCCATGTAGTTGTGGGAAATTATCATTGTTTCATATATTTGTTTTTAAGGAAATCAAAATATCCAAACAATCATGAGTAAAACTTACTTTTAAATTTTTTGTACTTTTTTCTTTTACACAATTTATGATCAAGATTGTTTGTTTTACATATTTTATCCTCTAGGGTCAATTTATGTGTCGTATCATAAGTCAATGCCAAGAATCCCTTTCAGATATCATTTTAATTCAAAAGTTATGCTCTATAGCCAACATTATTTAAATAATGCAAAACCTGTAGTATTAAATATTAAATTTCTTGGTTGTATAAAAGTTGTATGAAATTAATTATACCTATATAAACCTTCTGGAAGATTATTTATTGATGGTTTTTGAAAAAAACTATTATTTAGTCATTTCAGAATTAATTTCTTTAGTAATGACGTCATTCAGAACAGAACAAGACACAACAGAGCTTTACTGTGCATTCCAACAATTTTAAAATTGAGAGTCCAATCCAATACTACACGGTTGCAGGAGTTGAGCCACGCACTGTACCAGCACGACGCGGCGTGCCGCGTGATCGCGCGTCTCACCAAGGAGGTGACGGCGGCCAGAGAGGCGCTGGCGACGCTCAAGCCGCAGGCCGGCATCGTCGCGCCGCAGCCCGCGCACCCTGTGTGTATCCTACATCTTTTTTATTTCGTTTTGAAGAAGAAAGTATAAATTTCGTAGCGAGGTTATATTTCTCGACCGGGGTGGAAAGTGGTCGTGCAATCGTGTTATCGCTGTGGGTGTCGCAGGCGGAGGCGCCGGCGGGCGGCGGCGCGGCGCCCATCGGCATGTCGGGCGAGGTGGTGGCGCGGCTGCAGGAGCGCGCCACGGCGCTCACGCAGGAGCGCAAGCGCAGGGGCCGCACCGTGCCCGAAGGACTCGTGTCGCCCGACCAGATACGCGCCTTCCTCACGCTGGCCTCGCATCCGGTCAGTGGCTCTTCCGTCGTCTTAAGTGGAACGGCGATTACGGTTAGATCCATCCGATGGTAATAGGCTACTAAAATGGAACGAATAACCGGCAGGTCACTTTTCAAGTATTAAATTGACCGAGCCAAATGTCCGAAGACTTAGTGCTACATGAACTGTACATTTGTTGTTTCTTGTTGGCCGTTTCGGAATATATTTCCGTAAGTCGCCGGCAACTAATTTCAATCCTATTACAATTTGATGGATCTAATGTAAAGGTCCAATCCTTGAACGAAAGACTGATTGTATGTATTAGAAATGTCACCTACAATTGGAGAATTCCCCAGGGCTTGCATTCGGCCAGTGTTCCCGGCATCCTGTCATTGGACATCAACCCGTCGGATCACAGCAAACTGCTAACGGGTGGAAACGACCGCAACGCCACCGTCTTCAACAAGGACACGGAGCAAGTGGTGGCCATCCTCAAAGGTCACACCAAAAAAGTCACGCGTGTTATCTATCACCCCGACGAGGACACCGTCATCACTGCGTCTCCGGATCACACTATCAGAGTTTGGAATGTGCCTACGTAAGTACATGACTTTTCTATTATTTTCATTATCTTTGAACAACTTTCACGCGTGCAGCTATTTCTGTTTGATGTTGTGCTAGCTAGTTTTAACTAGAGATGAAACGGATCGTGATTTGGCCGGATACCGGATATTCGGCCGCCCAATATCTGTCCCACTGCCGTAAACAGTTTACAGCGCAAATCGCCGTCATTGATTGATGAGCGAATGATTGCACTTTCACATTTAAAAAAAACTTATATGTTTCATTATTACACATAGTATTTGAAGACAGTTCAAATCGATCGTGGTCGCAATCTTTTCATTTGACTGTCTGGCAATAACAAGTAGTACTATTCAACAATGTATGCAAGAGTTTATAGTGAAAAACTGTCGTCCTCTGACGCTGGTCTCGTTTATGAAAATAAGTAGAACCAACTTTTACCACTTAATGCAGAAAAACTGGTCATCATCCACCATAATTTGCCTTTATTGAAATTTGAGTACTAAATTTACAAATAGCGTTATCTAATTTCATAGTTCTTTCACACGTTACAAGTATTAAACAGATTGTCAACGATAGTATATAGGTAGTTGCTGTTTATCCTGTAACTATTATCTTTAATCAATAAATCAATTTATTTGGCGTACTCATTATGAATTTGTCTGTTTTAAACATCCGGTATCCGCCCGGATATTGTTCTACTATCCGGTATCCGGCCGGATAGTAAAAATAGACCGGATATTTACCGGATATCGGTTTCATTTCTAGCTAAAATCAACCTTTCAAGGAACCAAGTCAACTAACAGTAAATCGTAATTGCTCCCAGATCTCAGACGTCGGTGATCCTTCGGTCGCACGACGGGCCGGTGACGGGGCTGTCGCTACATCCCACGGGCGACTACCTGCTGTCCACGTCCACGGACCAGCACTGGGCCTTCTCTGACATCCGCACGGGCGCTCTGCTCAGCAAGGTCAGCGACTCGTCCGGTGTCAGCCTCACCACGGCGCAGTTCCACCCCGACGGCCTCATCTTCGGTACGGGCACGGAGAACTCGCAAGTCAAGATCTGGGATCTGAAGGAGCAGAGCAACGTGGCCAACTTCCCCGGCCACGTCGGGCCCGTCACCTCTATTTCCTTCTCCGAGAACGGCTACTATTTGGCTACGGCGGCGGAGGACGCCTGCGTAAAGCTGTGGGACTTGAGGAAGCTGAAGAATTTCAAGACGATCCAGCTGGAGGAGGGGTACGCCATCAAGGAGCTGTGCTTCGATCAGAGCGGCACGTACTTGGCCATCGCCGGCACGGACGTGCGGGTGTACTTGTGCCGGCAGTGGCAGGAGCTGAAGGTCTTCAACGACCACACGGCGTCCGCCACCGGCGTGCGCTTCGGCAAGAACGCGCAGTACATCGCCTCCACCAGTATGGACCGGACGCTCAAATTGTACGGCATAGAGTAACGGTCACGCTAAGCGACGTATAGATAGCTAGTGCTAGAGGTTGGCACACTAAGTGCATCTTTGGGGGCTGATTTTGCCAGGGTACCTCCAAAGACGCTCTTAGCGCCTTTAAACATCTTTGGTACAGTGAACGTATTATAAAAATGTGGTTAATAGGTACGACAAAATGTGATTTTGGAGATCATCAACACATTTGCTCCAACAAATTTGAGTGTAGTAGAGTTCAAGCAAGCGACGGCGACTAATTTCAACAACTACTGCTACTAATTTACGTAAGGATTATATAATGAGAAAGTGAATATACTGAACCTTCGTTCGTACGCAGTATCTAAATAAAGATGCTTCGTCGTAAAATTAAATGCGTTTTAGGATAAGTTTTATAGACTTAAGCATTTGTGGAGTTAAGAGAGTCTGTTCATTACTGTTTTATTTGCATCTAAAATGTTAGCATAAAATTATTTGTAAATGTACATTTAATAAAACAATTTGACAAATTGTATTGGCACTTTTGATTTCTACCAAACGCTTGGCTTAATTTGTTTTGAAATGAAACATTCCATTCAGCATTATGAACTTTTATTGTTTTTATAATTTACATAACCCTCCCACTTGAATAGAATAATAATTAAATATATACATTTATGTTTCCAGAAATATTAACATACAGTCTGAAACAGCTATAGTCTTGACCTGCGTACCGTCGTCCGCCCGGGGCGAATATTTGGTCGCGGCGGGAAATGCGCTACAAACCCTTACATCGCAAATGCCATCCAACCTAGCACATAACGTTTTTCCGCCTTACGAACTGGCGCATTCCTTGCCGGCGCTTCGCCAGCACAATTTTATAGCTAAAACATCGCTATACGCGCAATTACATTAGAACTAACCCAAACTATCCTATTTTATACATCTCAAATCACCTGCAACTCATTATTAAAGAACATTAACTAATTTACAAATGTTATTTCTCGAAAATATTTAAATTAAAAGGATATTGTCCCAAAATAACCTGTACATTAGACGTAAGGATTAACTATTGTTGCAAAAAGTGCTGTCGTTAAAAATCCCGGACTAAGTGGAGCTATTACATATCAATCGCAGAAACCACATGGTGACTAGAATTTACAAAGGTTCCGAACCGTGCCTGCAAGGATCGTTTGCTAAATGCTCTTTTTAGAAAAAAATGTCTGGCCAAAGCCCAAGGATTTTCAACTGCGTATAAACGCGAATAGTTTTTTTGGGACGTTAATAATTCCTAGTTAAATATTTGAACTGCACGCGTCTTAAGGAACACATTCGTAACGAATAAAATGACAATTACAAATGGACTTTATTACAGACCACAAAGAAATTGTTATGTAAAAAAATGTAAATTAAAAGGCACCATCAGTATGGATGTGGAGTTTACAGACTACATTCTATCTACATTCTCGGGCAGCTAACAGAATAGGGCCGAAATTACTTGAGTGGTAATCAGGTAATGGGGACTTTTTACTCCGCAAAGGAGGCATTTCGTGCACCAAATTAATTTTGTTTTTACGTGAAAACCCCATGGTTTAAAATGTAAAAAAAGGAAAGAACCCTTTTTATTTCGTTAACTGCTCCTGTTATTGCCTCCAAGAATAGAATCTCATTTGGTGCAACATTTGCAACTTACATTGTGATTAAGGAACATTGTAGCAAACGCTGCGTCAAGTGAGGCCTAGCACTACAATTAGGAATGGTACTCAATTAGTTTACTTGCAGACCGTCAGCTTGTAATATTAATTCATTGATTTATCTGTTTGGAAGATATCCGTTTTCACTAGAACGTTGGCGCACCGGTCCAATTGTCGAAACAAGTCCAGTATAACATCGTGGTCGAGGCGGGCTCGTGTTAGCCGCGCTCGCTGCACCCGGAGTCCTGCGGCCTCGTAGCGACAATTATGTGGCTACAGTAGCTGTGCATTAGCATTTACGTGCACAACTATTTATGATATTGTAGCACAACAATGCTTCTGTTCGCCGAGAACTACATCGGCCACGTTGCTCTCGTGTTGGTAATTATATCACAAATCTGAAGCCACCTATTTGGTAACTTCTCTTAGATGCTCAGCGCTTTTCAAAGGTAAGCCAGAGGTGGTATTCGACTAGAGAAGGTACCTTAAATTAGCGACGGTTGGAAGGGTGCGTTACGTGATATACAAGCGCGGAACTTTCGTCCCACAAGCGGTTAGTGCGCGAGCAGAATGAGGCTATGCGGGCGGGGGGCAAGGGGGCCCGTCACGCGAACACTAGCCACAGCACGAACAGAATGGCCACCCACAGGAATATTTTCGACAGGAACTGCTCTTCCTCGTGTTGTGCTGTGCCGCGAGGCGCTGTGGACGACACAAACGATTAGGTCAGTTCAATCATCGCAGCAGCTGAACATTAGAGTATAAGTACCTACATGAAGGTGCGACTCACCTGCACTGGGCCTGGGGTCTCCGAAATTAAAGGAGGACGTAAATACGCCAAACGGAAAAGCACCGATGCCGAATGACATGTGAAACCCCTCGCCGAAGCCGAAACCAGGGAAGCCGCTGTTGTTTTCGGGCTCCGTGCGCTGGCCCGCTGGTCGCGGTGGGACCTGACATATCGACAATCGCCTTTATCAAGAGTAACCCAACGCTTTTGCTAATTACACATATGCAACAGTAAGTAAACTGGACGTGCTATACTACCCGAGTAATATAGTTTTTACATTTACATTGGTGGTGCTAATACAAAAATGAGTGGCCGCTTTGGTAATACAGACTATCCAATCTAGCAATATATTTGATATATGCAAGGAAAATTTGTTGGATTCAGTTCAAGTATATTTTTTGTACATACATAAATGTTTAAATTTAACTACTCATAAATAAACAATTAAATAGAGTGCTAGCAACTCATTTTCAGGTAAACATAAAGGTCAAACAGGACATTGACGCTGATAATGGTCGAGAATGAAATGGTATTTTTGTCACTCTCATGATGATAATAATATGATAACTGAGCTATAATTAGCAAGTAAAGCCGGATGGTTTCTTAAATTAGGTTAAACTCTATTTAATTTTGCCTCTTGAAATTACTTTTCGTTTTACTGTGTGGATAAATGAAACTGGCATATTGTTATGCAATTTTGGGATCACTTTGAAGAGTCAACTTTAGTCAAAATGTAAACAATAGGACGTTCGGTAACTTTCATTCGATAACTGTGTTCTGAGTAACGTTTGTGGCCTTTGCCGGTCGAGAAGTTTGAGTAATCACACGGGTGTGACGTCATTTCGTTTCAGTTTCGAATAGTCTGACGTTCAATTCGGGTGTTGTGAATAAAAATGAAAAGAAATCGTACGATATCAAGGTCGAATCGATCGACAATGAGTTATCGTAATGTTGTGAATCGACCTACAGAGCAGTTTAATCAGATTGATAAATATATGTATAATGTGTGATGCAAATAACTGTAATGTGTCAATTTTTTTAACATATATTTTATAATGAGCATAATACAAAACTTTTTGAAAGTTCCACATGGAATGTACTAATGATAATAAATGTGAAAAATGGCATGTTAATCTTTGTAAATTGCTTAGCAAATCGTATGATATAAAGTGTTTTAATTTCGGAGATGGGACAAAACGAGTCTTATTTTTTTTATGGATTACGCACGAGGCTTATTCAATTCGTCTATACTGTTGCCTTTAGTCTACATTCAGACTGAGAGTAAAGTACCTTATTCCTAGGATCTTCCTGCTTAGTGTTGCCTCTCCCATAGAGTGGTATGACTTTGTCACGGCTAATGGCTGCTTTACACACGGGACACACCTGCCGACTCGGCCGTGTCTCTAGCCACTGGTGTAGACATGGCCAGCTGAGTAGATGAACACAAAACACATTTAAATATTATTATTTAAATAAATTATTTGTACCATTACTGTTGAGCACAAGTCTACCTCACATCTTCCTCTATAAGTATGATAATTATTAACATAAGGTACCTAAGAATTTATTTATTTGCTGTGCAACATTTACATTACTATGTAGCATTACTGTACTACACGCAACAGGCGCTACGTCAAGTTGCGGTAACCAGCCCACTACATGGTGTACTACATACATACCATATACCATACCATACTATAATTGTAATGTGAAATATAACAGGACAAATCTATTATTTAATTTAATTTATTATTAAAAAATAAAATAAAAAATATTGTATTTGTACTAAAGTAATTGTGGCATGTGTGTGTGGAGTGAGTGAGCACTCTCTGAAACAAGTTTAGAATTTAGTCATTTAGTAGAAGTTTTAAAACTATGAAATTGTAGAAACCAATCCTTGGTCTGCTATGAAATTAATTTCAATCAACGAATCTTTGTCATAACCACTGCTTGTAGGCTTTGCTCACTATCATTACTTACTGTCACCTTATATCTGTACTCAATGTGTTAATAATTCTCTTATGTTTATGGGTTTGTCTGCGCTGGTTGATTTAACCAAGTGTTTTGAAAGTATTATAGACTCCTTTTTTCTTGAATTTTCTGTCTTTGAGTAATAGGCAAGGTGTTAGTGCTTTAGGACAACAACAACACTGGCTTGGTGCAATAAAATAACATTTTCGGACATGTACACTTTTTATAATTAAAGGGAAATTGCGTTGTTGCTTTGTTTACTTTAAATTGACCCCAATAGTAAAAGGACCATCACTCTACTATTTAAAGGATTGGGTCCAACAACTAGACGTTTGGATAGATAAGTTTATTCATGGAACATAGTACAATTAATGATATTTTTCTAGAGTGCATAACAGTTTTTTAGAACTCATACAAAATCCCAAAACAGCAATATTTTAATTATAATCCTACAGTCTATCAAAAAGTGCACTTATTTGTTTATAAGGAGGACCCATACAGGTTATCACCTGTAGATAATGTATACTTTGTTTCAATCCATTTTGAAGAAAAAGTAAACAAACAAGTCACTGACCCGGCCATAGACGGTTTAGTGATGGCCAATTATAACGCCAACTTCAAATTGATTAATTAATTTAATGAATTAATTTGTTTAATTGAGTCATACTAGCGGTTTTCCTTACATAACCTATATAAGCATATTTAAAATTTCAATTAAAATCCTCCTTCAAATCCTTACACTTGGATACTTGTTCGATTGCGATTGAAATGTTCGATTTAATAATCGATTACTAAACTTTAATTGATCAAACCGAATGTTTTTTTTTTTCAAACAGCACTATGCAACCATAGGCAAGTCATAGAAGTATAGATGAATAATAACCTCACTTTTGGACTACCATTTTTCAAATACGATTTTACGATGCTATTCAAATGAATATTATTGGAAAAAAGTGATGATATATCAAGTCGAAATCTTCGAAATATACGCGAAAGTGTTATTTATTCAATTTATTGAGTTATTGCTTTAGAATTTTAACCAAACAGGTTTGTTTACTTTTTGTTCAAAATGGATTGGAACAGACTATAGCTAATATAAGATGTATTATGAATTTTAGAGAATAATTATATACATAAAAAAATATCTTATACATTATCAAGTGATACAAACTGTATCCCAGTGACGTTTCAGTAAGGCTTGTCCAGCTGTATTTGTGCAAGACCTGAACAAACTGGTTAACAAAATTCTCGGAAAATTGTATTTTTTTTGTGTTTACTTTAGGCGATTAACACACTGCGTGGCACCCCGCGTCGAGGAGCGGGACGCGAAATCACGCGCGCGGTGGCGGAGGCGCAGATCTGCGTCAACGCGTGGTTTAATCTGCGCGGGGGCAGCGGTCTTGCGGCCTCGCGCCACTTAAAGTACTCGCTTCATAGTTTATCGCCATAGTGATTGTACATGCAGACGAGATCCTTCTTTGATATGAACGGTTAAACACACAGCACTCATTCAGGACGCTGCAGTTATACTGTCCATTTGGTTTTTGTTTACTCAAATAAAAAGACTCCGAAGATAATATTCAACTTCATTACAAAGATTTAAGAAAATATGAAGAATAATTTTTCAACTACACATGTCAACTGTCAAGTCAACTGAATCCTTGGATTATTTGTTAGGGAACAATACGAATGACAATTACTGGAATAGACACAAATTCATTAAAAATCTGCATGATACTACGGAGCGCAGCGGACCATACCTTCGATCCGTCGCGCCCCTAGACTGCAGAGATGCATTGTCAGTGTGTTAGACGGTGCGCTTTTCCTTACAAACTGAGGTACTTCAGCACAACGTTATAAAACGCAGCTCGCAGCAGGCGTGGCGCAGTGTGTTAAACACTTTATAGCAGTGCACTGAAATTTTTTTTTTAAATATCCGATGTCCAGAAACGACTGTTTTATTATACACGTCTCAACAATTTTTTTTTACATAAATTAATGCACATTTATTAGAAAATAGAATCCATAGTAATTTATCTAATTACTTAATTAATGATATTCTCATAAAAATTCTGGAAAATAATTTATTGTAATAAGTATCATTATATGGACATGTAAATCCTTCATACTTCACTGCACAAAGGTAACAAACTAGGTTAAATGCGATAATGGGAATACATTACTGGGCCAATGTTATTAAATGAGCACATATATATTTTAATTATCAAAAATTAACAACATGTTCAATGCTTTTGTTGGTGGACTCTGTTTCTGTTTTAACAGTCTCATATGAAATGCAACAATACACAAAAATGATAAATATTGTTAATAATGTACCAACTAAAACATTTTATCATGGTGTCAATGTATAATAAGCCACAGTTTGGAAATGTTCTTTGAGCCAAACAGCGACGGAAACTGTAAATATTCACGAGTAGCGCCTATTAAAAGCATGATTAGCATATTGTGTCGTTCAATTTTGTACTCGGCAGGCCTCGCGGTCGCCAGGGGTGGGATAGCATCTGCGTACCAGAAGAGGTGTCCACACATACTGACAACGGCATCACGCGCCGTGTCCAGGCATATGTTGCACTCCAGCATTCGCTCGTCGCGCTTGTCCTCCTCGCCACCTGCACCCGCGCCTTCGCCGCTCCCGGTCGACGCGCTTGCTTGTGGTTCACTCGTCTCCGCCATCCTCCTCTTCTGTGTATTTTATCCGGCCACCCTTCACTTAACGCTACGTCCTAGGAATACCACAACACTTATAAGAGGGTCAATGAAGTCTTAAATACCGAGTGTGTTACGACACAATTTCTGAAATTTATATACAGTTCACAGTTGTGTTTTCTAATAGATCACTACAGTTTTCTTTCTACTGCAAAATTTATCAGGATTATATCACAGAATTAAGGAAAAATCACTGAAAAACAAAATCAATCCCGTGGTTTGCGATGACTTTGTGTTGTCAAATTTTCCCATAGCCAAAAGATTTATGTCGATCATTTCTTTTCAAGCCACGTAACATTTTTATTTAAAAAAACAAATAATTGGTTTATTGGTAATGAAACTAGTAAAGGTAATAAAATAAGGTAACGAATAAATTCTAATAATAATTCAAATGCACATTTGGGTTACATGAATCAAAGCAAGTAAAATTGTAATCATCAGAACATGTAAAGGGCACACTTAAAGAAAAGTTAAAACCGTAGACAAAAATGTAAACAAACTATTTCGTTCTCATTTTACATCGTAATAAAATTTGTTGCGTTATGATTGGTGAGCCTTTGTTACAGTTTGACAAGTCCATATGGATCGAAACACCGTGGCATAGAAAACAAAATTCTGAAAATCGTTGGCTGTTGTGGCTGGCAAAAATATATTTATTATTTTTCTTGTAAAACACGTGAAAAGTACTGGTTATAGGTATAAAGAAACATTGATTTCAATATATATATATAGAAAAATCAGTCTAAATTTTAGGGTGACGTCGTTAGTTGTAGTTGTAGGTCATAAAAATATGTTGAAAAACAACTGTGACGTCATAATCTCGATCAGCTGAGGCTAAGGCAGGTTTGTTGTTGAGACGAGGGGTTTTGATAGAATTTGAAAATGGGAGGCGCTGTAAGTTCGGGCCGCGACAATAATGAGTTGATCGACAACCTGATGGGCGGCAACTACATCCGGACGCGCACGGTGGAGCGCGTGTTCCGCGCGCTGGATCGCGCTGACTATATGACTCCTGAAGCGAGGGACCAGGCGTACAAAGACATGGCCTGGCGGAGCGGGCCGCTGCACATATCCGCACCTTGCATTTATAGGTAAATTTTTGTCTATGACATTGATATCTAAAATACCTTCAGTTTTTTTCTGGAAATACACAAGCTGTAGGTCATCGCTTGTGTATCTACCGCAATTGGATATTTGTTTCATTTTGTAATAACATTAGGTCTATTTATATGATTTCTGGAGGCACACATCTGCTTTAGATTAATATACAAATCACATAGAACTTTCTTTTTATCTATTGATTTTACATAGAACTGAATATTGATATAAAATGCAGGTACATAGTGCAAGGAAGTCATAATTTTGTTTGTACTTATCTCTGCATTTTTTTTTACATTCTGCCCTATATTGACAATTTGTTTTTGACTACTAACACTTGTTTGCTATGTATTTTTAGCAAAATGAGTAACAAGCAATACAAGCTCCAGTATAACCAATTGTAAAAAACTGCTGTCAGTGTTGAGGGTCAAAGTATTGAGTTTTGTTTGATTGAAGTTTAATGAAAATGTTATTCACTCAACCCATTCCTCCGCCATCAGTGAAGTGCTGGAAGGCCTGGAGCTAAAGGCTGGTCTGTCCTTTCTCAATGTGGGGTCTGGTACTGGCTACCTCAGCACCCTGGTGGGCTTGATCATCGGCACCAGTGGCATCAGCCATGGCATTGAGATCAACAACTTTGTGGTTGAATACGCAACCAAGAAGCTCAATCAGTTCATTGAAAACTCTGCTACATTGGACGAATTCGACTTCTGTGAACCTAGGTTCTATTGTGGTAAGTTAATATTATTTTGTATTATTGATAACATGTCTTGGTTGCTCTCGTAGCTCTATCTGATAAGGATTATTGGATTTTTTTATTTGCTAAATGATGTGGTATAACTTGAAAGTGTATAAAAATAAGGTCCCCAGATTGATACAACTGAATTCTCACACCTGGGGGTCTACTCTCGATCTCCGTCTGACATCCGTTTGAAACAATTACTGCCAAATAAGCAACACTTGACCAAATGAAAATACGCGTGATCCGAATGAAGCTTTATACTTGATACTTGTCTTTTCATTTTTTCGAATATTACTTATTTGACAGTAATTGTTTCGGACGGATGTCGGATGTAGATCGAGAGTAGACCCCCCAGTCTTGTGAGATTCGCGTATTCTATGTTATTAGCTAAAAATGAAATGAACAATGTTTGAGTTGCTAGGAGCCAATACTACTGTCGCAGTAGGTATCTTGTATAGCACCACCAATGTCGTTAGACTCATTGTGTCAGTTGATTAAAAATCAAAGGGATACTGATGTGGTCAACCCTGAATGTTTGAACAATATCCAGCATACATGAAGTAGATTAAGTGTTATTCTGTCACATATTATTAATAAAGCCTTGTTATTTCCAATACTTTCACATTTTATAATAATAATGCCATTTATGAAACGATTTTCTAAAGTTCAAGCTTCATTGGCTAAGGTGAGTATGGTTGTTATTGAGAAATTCTTTATTACAGTTAAATGCCATTTAAATTAATACCCTTCCAACAGATTTTTTTTTAAATAAACCTAGTGTAAGAATTAAATTCATACTAAGCCATTTATAATGTATTTTACTAAAATCTCGAAATGATTTATTTTTTCATTCAAAAACCAAATTTATTACAAATGCCAATCTGCCATGTAGGCTTCATCAGGTGGACACAAATATAAATCAGCAACATGATTCGTCACATGAAAATCAACAATGCAATTGTAAAAAAAGAAATAATTTGATTATAAGAATTAAAAAGGACTGCTCACAATCGCAGCTGGCTAAGCTTAACACAGCATTACCACACTCAATGGCCAACGAAATTTGTTGCACCAGGTAAGACCCAGAGCGTGGATCACAACACTTTGAATTTAGTTGAATATTCTGCTTCCAAACTGAAGTTGTTTTCAAGAAAAACCTCCAGTAATTCTATTACAAAATGTTATTATGTGACCATATCCAATGATTGCTAAAAAAGTAATGCAATTAATACCTTGTTTACAGCATTAGCAAACTGATGAGCGAGAAAATTATATCATCAAATAGTACATTTAAATGAAATTATCAACTTTTGTAAGATTCAACTCCTTGGACTTGAGAAAATTGTATAAGCTTGTGATAATTGTCATGGATCCGTTTCAGGCGGTCTACTCTCGATCTCCGTCCGACATCCGTCCGAAACAATTACTGCCAAACAGTGTTGGGCAAAATTTAATTGTTCTGGCAATTAAAGATTGACAATTAATTAATTGTCAATTGCGAAACAGCAATTAACGATTGATCAATTGTTAGTTGCGAGAACCGCAATTAACAATTAATCAATCGTTAATCGCAAATATCTACAATTAACAATTAATCAATTTTCAATCTTTTCAATGTTTTTGATTAACAATTAACAATTAAAACTGACAATTATGATAAATTTATAGGGTATATGGGGGTGAGTTAGGGCGTTGGTTATGGGGGCCCGGATGGGGGGGTCGGTTGGGTCCCCGGTTGGGTCCCCGGTTGGGTGCCCCGGTTGGGGGGCCCGGTTGGGGGGCCCGGTT